CTAAAGAATGAATTTTAAAAAAATGTAATATTTATACAATGGAGTACTACTCAGTGGCAAAAATAATGAGATCATGAAATTTGCATGCAAATAGATAGAACTAGAAAAAAAACATGCTGAGTGAGGGAGCTCAGGCCTCAAAAGATGAATATGCTATGTACTCTCTCATAAGTGGATAACCAGCCCATAGTCCATGATTGTAGAGAAGCTAAGTAGCAAGGCGATCCCTAAGAAAAACATATAAATTCACCTGGATAGGGGAAATTGAGAAGATCACCTGACAAAATTGGGAACATGGAGGTGGTTGGGGGGAGAAGGGTGGAAGGGGAAAAGAAAGAGAGAAGGGGAGGGGGGAAGAACTTGAGGGAACTGGATAGTTGAGATGAGGGACCAAAATAGATAAAAAGCAAGGAGAGAGATATCTTGGTTGAGGGAGCCATTATTGGTCTAGCAAGAAACCTGGCACTAGGGAAAATCCCAGGAATCCACAAGGATGACTCCAGCTAAGCCCCTAAGCAATAGAGGAGAGGTTGTTTGAACTGGCCTTGCCCTGTAGTCAGATGGATGACTACCTTAAATGTCACCATAGAACATTTATACAGCAACAGATGAATAATACAGAGGCAGAGAGCCGCAGAAGAGCACTGGGCTAGTTTCCCAAAGTCTAGTTGAAGAGTAGGAAGAATGAGAATATGAACAAAGAGGTCAAGACCATGATGGGGACACCTACTGAAACAGCTTACCTGAGCTAATGGGAGTTCAACAACTCCAGCTGGTCAGGGAGGATTCAGCATTGGACCAAACTAAACCTGAATGTAGGTGACAGTTGAATGGCGGGAAGACTGTGTGGTCACTGGCAGTGGCACCAGAATTTATCCCTACTGCTTATACTGGCTTTTTGGGAACCCATTCTCTTTGGATGTATACCTTGCTCAGCCTAGATATAGTAAGGAGGGCCTTTATCCTTCCCCAAAGCAATGTACCATACCCTCTCTGAGGAGTGGATAGGGGCAGGGGAGGGAATGAGGTGGAAATGGAAACTGGGTTTGGTATGTAAAGTTAACAAAGATAGTTTGTTTTCTTTTCTAAAAATAAAATAAAATAAAAAGTGCTTGTTCATGATAAATATAGTCATTTCTTCAAAAACTCTCTTCCAAACAGGATTTAATTTTTCTGACAGATACATCTTAACCTATAGTTAAGTTGAAGAGTCATTAACCTTTTTTTTTTAATTTTCATTAACAAAAATGTTAACTCAATGCAAATAGCATTGGGGAAGCAAATGCATTGTCATGAAACACTTCAAATTCTTCCGAGGCAAGGGCTATTTTAACCTGACTTTGATGAACAGTGATAGTCTGTGTCATATGTGAGGTCCCTCTCTGACCCACACCAATAATTCACTGAACTGTTGTGATAGTTCTAATTGCCTACATGACAGCAAGGAAACCCCTGTGAAGAGAATTTCAGAATGGGACTGTTTAGATTAGGTTGGCTTATGGCCATGTCTGTGGTAGGATTATGTTGATTATATGAAGGCATACCTCCTCTGGCTAGTCCCACCGACTGAGCAGTGTGTCCTTGATTGGTGAGAGTGAAAAAACAAATTGAGCACTGGCTTGTGTGCTTGCATTCTTTGCTCTCTGCTCATAACTGTAGATGGGATGTGACTAGCTTCTTAGGCTTTCTGCCACCTTGACTATCATGAAATGATGGTTTGCAAGCTGAGATTATGAACTGAAGTAACTGTCCTCCATCTCCTTTAAGTTGTTTGTAAAGGTATATTATCTCAGTAATAGGAAACAGAGCTAAGATAACTATGGTTTTAAAAAGTGTTGATTGAACAGTTAACATCAAACTAAATGGAGAGAAACTCACAGTGATCCCACTGAAATCAGGAACAAGACAAGGTTGTCCACTCTCTCCATATTTATTCAATATATTTCTTGAGGTCCTAGCTAGAGCAATAAGACAATGAAAGGAGATCAAGTGGCTACAAATCTGAAAAGAAGAAGTCAAACTCTCACTAGTTGAAATGATATGATAACTTACAGAAACAACCTCGAAAATTCTTTCAGGAAACTTCAACACTCAAACACTTTCAGTAACTTAGCAGGATACAAGATTAACTCAAAAAATCAGGAGACCTATTTATACATTTGATAAATTGGCTGAGAAAGAAATCATAGAAACATCACAGAAGCCACAAATAGTATAAAATATCTCAGAGTAACTCTAAACAAACAAGTCGAAAACCTATATGACAGGAAGTTTAAATCTTTGACGAAAGAAATTGAAGAGGATACCAGAAAATGGAAAGATCTCGCATGCTTTTGGGTAGGTCAAATTAATGTAATAAAAATGGCAGTCATAAAGCAATCTACAGGTTTAATGCAATTCTTCACAGACCTCAAAATGTAATACTAAACTTCATATGGAAAAGCAAAACTCCCAGGATAGCCAAAACAATCCTGCACTATAAAGGAACTTCTGGAGGTACCACATTGTATCCCTGACTTCAAACTCCTCTACAGATCTACAGTACTGAAAACAGCCTGGTATTGGCATAAAAACAGGCAGGAGGACAAATGGAACTGAATCAAAGACTCAGATGTTAATCCACACACCTATGAACACCTGATTTTTGACAAAAAGCAAAAATTATAAAATGGAAAAAAAGAAAGCATATTTTAAAAATGGTGCTGGCATAGGATACCACCATGTAGAAGAATGAAAATATATTAATATCTATCACTATGCACAAAACTCAAGTCCAAATGGATCAAAGACATCAACATAAAGCCAACCACACTGAACCTCATAGAAGAGAAAATGGGAAGTAAACTTGAATGTACTGGCACAGGAAACCACTTCCTAAATATAATGCTTCTAACACAGACACTGAGGGAAACAATAAATAAATGGGACTTCCTGAAATGGAGAAGCTTCTGTAAAGCAAAGGACACAGTTAACAAGATGAAATGGCAATCCACAGAATGGGAAAAGACTTTTACGACTCCCATGATGGAGGAGGGTCATTTGTCTATCTGTTGCTTTCATTGGTTAATTAATAAAGAGAACTGCTTGGCCTGATAGGTTAGAACATAGTTGGGTGGAGTAGACCAAACAGAATGTTGGGAGAAAGACGCAGATTCACATAGTCGCCATAGCTCTCCTCTCCAAGATGGATGCAGGTTAAGAATATTCCAGGTAAGACACCACCTTGTGGTGCTACACTCATTAGAAATGGGTTAATCAAGATGTGAGAGTTAGCCAGTAAGAGGCTAGAGCTAATGGGCCAAATGTTTAAAAGAATACAGTTTCCCTGTAATTATTTTGGGTAAAGCTAGCTGGGTGGCAGGATGCAGCCTGCTGCTCCTTCTACAGAGTGGTGCTCACTCCATCTACACTCCCTCATTACATAGAGGGCTGATCTCCATGATATATAAAGAACTCAAGATATTGGTCATCAAAAGAACCAATAATCCAATTTAAAAAAATGGAGTACAGACATAAACAGAGAACTCTCAGCAGAGAAATCTAAAATGGATGAAAGACATTTAAGGAAATGCTCAACATCCTTAGCTACCAGAGAAATGCAAATCCAAACAACTCTGTTGTTACATCTGTAAGAATGGCCAAGATCAAAAACACTGATGACAACTTATGTTGAAGAGGTTGTGGGGTAAAGGGAACACTCCTACATTGCTGGAGGGAGTATTGCTGGTACAGCCCCTTTGGATATCACTATGGCAATTTCTCAGAAAATTAGGAAACAACCTTCTCAAGACCCAGCAATGCCACTTTTGGATATATACCCAAAGGATGCTCAGTCATACCACAAGAACTCTGTTCATAGCAGCATTCTTTATCCTAGTCTGAACGTGAAAGCAACCTAAATAAATGCTCCTGTACCAAAGAATGGATAAGGAAAGTGTGGTACATTTACACAATGGAGTACTACACATCAGAAAAAAATAACAACATCTTGAATTTTGCAGGCAAATGGATAGAACTAGAGAACATCATATTGAGTGAGGTAATGAACCCAAAAAGATATATCATATGTACTCACTCATATGTGGATTTAGACATAAAACAAACAAAAAAAACAGCCTACAAATCACAATCCCAAATAACCGAGACAATAATGAGTATCCTAAGAGAGACATACATGGATCTAATCTTCATGGAAAGTAGAAAAACACAAGATATCCTGAGTAAATTGGGAGCATGGGGCCATGTGAGAGGGTAGAAGGAAAAGGGAGAGGAAGAGAGGTGAGCAGAGAAAAATGTATAGCTCAAGAAAATCAATTTTTAAAAGTGTTGATTATGTTTGCTACTTATTCATCATTGGATATTGATATATCAAATAATCAGGTGAATGACACTGCTTAAATGAAGAAAATCAAATCAAAATGACACAGTTTACATGTTTAGCATTATCCTTGAGGAGAGAATTAGGATAAGAGCATTCATGCATGACTCCTTCTGTATATAACTACCTTCATTTCTGTACACACACACACACACACACACACACACACATACACATACACACACACACATGTTATTTAAAGTCTAGAATAAAATGAGTTAAGTAGAGAATGGGAAAAAACTATGCTTCAAAAGAGCTTGCCTTGCAAGCATGATGATCTGGGTTCCATTTCCAAAGCCCAAATCAAGTTGATGTGAGGATACATATTAGGAATACCAGTAGTGAGGAAACAGAGAGGACAAGACTTCTTTGGGTCACTGCCAGCCAGCATAGGCACAGCTGGGAGCTCCAAACCAGTGAAAAGTACTGGTTCAAATGATGAACTGTGTTCTTCAGGAACATTAGAGATTTCTGACTGCCTTGCTTTTGAATCCACACACATTTACACACACACACACACACACACACACTAATTGCAATTATCCATATGACTAATCGGGAATTCCATGGGCAGCGTCATTCACCCACACTGCTGTGTACCTTTGTCCATGTGAGTACTTACTGTAGGAGCATCCATAGACCTCCACTCTCATGCCAATCCTTCCACTTGGGTTCCACTCCAAAGGCACAAAGCGAACAAAGCGGGTTCTCACAGAGTGTAGCAGCTTGTGGTGCACGACACTGTCAGCATTCATGTTTCCTCCAAATGTCTGAAGAGAGAGGGAAACTCAGTGAGCTCTACAGTACCAAGACATGTCAATAGAAGTGTGCATGCTTCGCCAATCAGACCTTTGGGGAAGGACAGCAACAAAAACCCTAGTGTCTTTGACATTACTCTGATGTGGGTTACAGCCCTATCCCAGGCTTTACAATTTTTCTTAAGTACCAAATATTTTAGTTTATTTTCCTGTACATTTGTGATTGATATTTACTTGAAAATAATCTCACATTCTGAAGAGACAGTTTAGTGGTTAAGCATGCTTTCTGCATATCTCACTACCCAGGGCCAGTGTGGTCAGGGACCTTAGATGAAAACATAAAATCACCACTTTACTAAGCCAGGGTAATGTCTAATTACATTCTTGATAGTTATCCTTGTTCTTTATGATATTCCCCTCTATATCATCTATGTCTAGCTACATTTTATGAATAAAGAAAGTTGTAAGATATGACACCTGAAGATTTAAAAAGTTAACCTTAGCATGAAATTTCAGTCTCCAACCTGTCCATACTCACTGTGTACTATAACATAACTGACAATCCCCTCCTTAAAGGAAATGGACTTTGCTAAAATAATTGTCAATGTTTTTCAGGCCAGTTATTACACTAAGCTTGTAACATCATCATCACCATTAAAAAAATAACAAAAACAAAAACATAAAAAAATCTAGTGCTAGAAGGAAAAGATAGGAGGAAATGAATCTTCAAATCAATCACCCAGTAGTTAGAAATTAGACTGATTTTCAGCTCCAAGACTTCCAATTCTCTGATCCCAAGACTCATACTTGTTTTAGTAGTTTCCACTCCCTAGCTATGCAGTCAATGGGTTTTACAGGAAAGATCCAGCACAGTTTAATTACATATGTAGTTTACTTTTCTGTTCATTTGTGATTGCTGTTTATTTGAAAAAAAAATCCCATGTTCTGAAGAGACAGTTAGTGGTTAAGCATGCTTTCTGCGTACCCAGGGCTAGTGTGGACAGGAATCTGAGAAAAAACACGAAATCACCACTTTACTAAGCGTGGGAGGTCCTTCTGTCTATGTGTTGCTTTTATTGGTTAATGAATAAAGAACTGCTTTGAGCCCATGATAGGATAGAACAGAGCTAGGTGGGGAAAACAAAACTGAATGCTGGGAGGAAGAAGGCAGAAAGAAGAGAGAAGGCATGGAGCTGCCTGAGATAGACTTGCTGAAACATTGCTGGTAAGCCACAACATTGTGGTGATATACTGATTAATAGAAATGGGTTAAATTAATATGTAAGTGTTAGACAATAAGAAGCTAGAGCTAATGCACCAAGCAGTGATTCAATTCACATGGTTTCTGTGTGATTATTTTGGGTCTAAGCTAGCCTGGTGGCCAAGAAGAACAGCAACCTCCCTCATCCTATAAGCCAGAATAATGTCTAATTAGATTCTGAATAGTTAGTTATCTTTACACAGGTAAGTGAAAACCTCACTCCTCATCAAGGCAAATTTTTCTTGAAACAGATAGAGAAGCCATTACAGAAAAACACAACTGAAAATTTGCCCAGTCCCAACAGATACATGTACAATGTAACTCCAGCACCAAAGGCTGAGAGAACATTATGGAAGTGATACAGGAAAGATTGTTAAGAGCTATAGGAACAGCAAGTTTCCTATAAGATTAAGTCATCTATGAATGTCAGGAAAGCTACAACCATGAACTCTCAACCATATGGCTTCCTAAATAAGATGCAAACAAGCATAGCACCCATAGATGTGTTAATAGGAAAGGGGGGAGTTCCTGAGGCTTCAGTCCTAGAAAAGGAAGCACAGGCCACTGGTTATCCACTATAACATGTTTAGTCCTAAAATCAGTTATGTCCAGGTTACTGAATATGTTTTATATAAACACACACACTTGTAAGTACACAAAAATATGTATAAAATATGTATATTTTATATAATATTCATGTGATATATAATATATATGACCAATTTATAGAAAAAGAGGATACAAATTTGAGAAAGAAATGGGGTAGTACATGTGATGGGTTGGAGGGAGGAAATAAAAGGAGGAAGTGATATAAATATATTTTAAGTTCAAAATTAAAAATAAATCTTATTAAAAATAAATATTTTCTGTACAAGTGTAAATAACATAGTTTGGATTCCAGTATCCATATGATGAGTTTGGCATGGATCCATTCACACCTGCAATCCAGCACTAAAGGGGGAAGAGAGAGTAGTGTTGCTGGGACTTGCTAAAACTAGCTCAAACCCAAAAGCTTAGAGTTCAGCGAGAACTCAAAGGACAAAGGCACAGAATGACAAAAAGGCAAACACATGAACATCTCATCCAGACTCTGTGCATTTGCATAGACAAACTCATGTGAATACATATGTACACATATACCACACACACATATATGCTTCATATGTGAAGATGTGCATGCATGTGTGCACATGCACACACATATACACACACTTACATACATACACAAAACATAGCACAAGTCCTGTGTAGTCTACTTGAGTTATGTCTCATAACTTTATCTGCATGACTGATTATTTTAGACTTATATTTCTTTTCTGCTGATGGAACACAAAGGCTTAAATCTCATCTTGAAAGAGAGAGAGAGAGAGAGAGAGAGAGAGAGAGAGAAAGAGAGAGAGAGAGAAAGAGAGAGGATGGAAGGAGGAAAGGAAGAAGAAAACAAAATATCCATAAGAAAACTCATCAGTTAAACCTTTTAAAGCAGGCCATTTGGTATCTGTGTGTTTATGCTGAACAAATGTTCCCATTGAACATGCCAAGTTGTCTCTGTCCCATTGACAGCCTGTGAGCTAACAACACTCAGAGGTCTGTGTTTCAGAGTCAGGATTATCCTTCTCAGCTTCAGTAAACTATAGAGAGTCCACCCTACTCATGTGCAGTGACAGTTACAGCAACCAATAGAAATCTGATTCCCTCCTAATGGCCAAAGTAAACACTAAGAAATTAGATTTTGAGATGTAGAGAGAGAGAGAGACAGGAGTGAGAGACAGGTATAAACAGAGACAAAGAAAGATTCCTAAAGGACATACTTGTGAAATTACCATTGTTTGAAAGTATATTGTGTTTTTGTTTGCGACCTGCCCACCAGCACGGAGGCCTGATCTCTAGGCGCCAGGAGACCCAGCGTTGGGGTGAGTTTCTGACCCTGCGGCGCCAGCCCGGGAAGGGGAGTTCAGAGGTTGCTTGGCCCCCTGTCCTTCTTGAGCTCTTGGCAGGGCCCCCACTCCCTGCATACCTCCTCTTTCTTCCTAGCCCACCCAGCTTCCATCCAGAACCCTCCCCACTTTGCCCCACCGCCTTCTTTCTGCACATAACATCACCCAGCCCAGCCAGTCTGGGCACTGGGTCTGAATCATCGGGGCACCCAAGCAGGTGGAAGTCTCTTTGTTTCTATGGCCTGCCTGCACCAAGCAGGGTAGGCGCTTTGTTTGCGACCTGCCCACCAGCACAGAGGCCTGATCTCTCGGCGCCAGGAGACCCAGCCTTGGGGAGACCCAGCGTTGGGGAGAGACAACGTTGGGGAGATCCAGCATTGGGTAGGCAAGGAGACCTGATCCGGTAAAGAAGATCCATAAGGGAGCATTTGGAAGAAGAGATGGGTAGACGCCAAGGCAAGAATTCGCCCAACAAGCTGAAAAGCAACATGAAGCCACCAGAAACCAGCGACCTCACAACGGGAGGACATGAACACCTTAATCAAGAAGAAGTAGAAAAGGTTGACTTCATGAAAGTGATTGACGCCCTTAAACAGCATGTAAAAAATGCCCTTATAGAAATGGATGAGAAATATAACAGAAAGTTTGAAGATCTGAATAAATCAGTGAATGATACCCTAGAAAACCAAGGAAAAACAATCAAACAGATAATGGAAACGGTGCAAGACTTGAAAACTGAAATGGAGGCAAAGAAGAAAACACAAACAGAGGGCCGGCTGGACATGGAAAATTCAAGTAAACAAACAGAGTCTACAGAAACAAGCATAACCAACAGAATACAAGAGATAGAAGAAAGAATCTCAGATTCTGAAGATACCATAGAGAAAATAAACACTCTGATCAAAGAAAACAGCAAGTCCAACAAACTCTCATCACAAAATATTCAGGAAATATGGGACACAATAAAAAGACCAAACCTAAGAATAATAGGAGTAGAAGAAGGAGAAGAAGTGCAGCTCAATGGTCCAGAAAATATATTTAATAAAATTATAGAAGAAAACTTTCCCAACCTAAAGAAAGATATACCTATGAAGGTTCAAGAAGCATACAGAACACCGAATAGGCTGGATCAAAAAAGAACATCCCCTCGCAATATAATTATTAAAACACAAAGCATACAGAATAAGGAAAGAATATTAAGAGCTGCAAAGGAAAAAGGCCAAATTACTTATAAAGGTAAACCTATCAGACTTACACCTGACTTCTCCATGGAAACCATGAAAGCCAGAAGGTCCTGGATAGATGTACTTCAGAAACTAAGAGACCATGGATGCAAGCCCAGATTACTATACCCAGCCAAGCTTTCATTCACTATAAATGGAGAAAATAAAATTTTCCAGGATAAAAACAAATTTAAACAATACGCAGCCACAAATCCAGCCTTACAGAAAGTAATAGAAGGAAAATCACTAACCAAGGAGTCCAACAATGACCACAATAACTCAGACATCTAGAGATCCTTCACCAACACAAATCAAAGAAGGGAAACACACAAACTCTACGACTAAAAAAATGACTGGAGTTAACATCCACTGGTCATTAATATCACTTAATGTCAATGGACTCAACTCACCTATTAAAAGGCACAGGCTAAGAGATTGGATAAGAAAACAGGATCCAACATTCTGCTGTTTACAAGAAACACACCTCAACCACAAAGACAGGCACCTACTCAGAGTAAAGGGCTGGGAAAAGGCTTATCAAGCAAATGGACCTAAGAAACAAGCAGGTGTGGCCATACTAATCTCTAACAA